CCCCCCCTCTCCCCCGCAACATTGTGGTCTATCGGCTTCGGCATGCACAACAGAGCACCCCCCCCCTGCCGCATTCTGGGTAGACCCCACTCACCGTGCTCTCCTCCGCGAGCATCTTCTCCAGGAACTGCACGGTGGCTTGCGATGCCTCTTCGTCCTCCGCCTCGGCCTCCTTCACGCACTCCTGGAACGCCGTCGCGAGCTTTTCGGCGGTCTCTTTCTCAAGCGCCTTCACTTCGTCCTCGCTCATGTTGTCGTCCGGCGGGGGGATCTCCTCCTGACCCGTAAATGAAAAGTGTGAAACCAATGAAATGCCAACTAATCAGTTTATAGGCTTTAAGTAGACTCAACATATGCCCGGCATCCAGCTTCCCTCTCACTCTCAAGACTTCGACACACCACCTTCGACTGCTGTGGTACATTATTAACTTCAACGCGTAGTCTTTCTGTCGTTGCATGAGGGGAAACCCTGGGCCCCGAATGGCTTGATGGGAAAACCGCGAGATTAACCATGCCCGCAGGAACCACGGTTGCTGCCGTCGATTCACGGCAGAGCCACATCCAACACCGTGGCACGAAGGAAAATAGTCTCTTCAAGAAGATAGCGTGCACAAACACACGTTTGTTACGCTGATGCATTTGACATGTGTGCTCGATTCCTCCCGTATCCCACACAATCAGCGCGAGGGTTGTCGCTGTACGCTGGAATGGCTACGGAAAATCAGACTAGAGTAATGGTGGTCCTTGCTGTGGGCGCTATCTGTACTGTAGCGCTGAAAACCTGTTGACCATTGACCCAGCCGGCCGTGGTAGGCCTCACCGCGATCTCGTCGGCCTTGGTCTTGAAGCAAGCCGCCGCATCTTCGAGGATGGACACGTCGGCGTGCACCAAGGCCTGGAAGTCCGCGTAGTCAAGGAAGGCGCACTTCACGTAGTTCGCGGTTGCCTGCGCACGTCACGACAAGAGCATGAACACGGTACGGTATGCATAGCGAGGCAGGCATTGTTGGTGTCCGAAAGATGAAAAACTCTTGCTACGAATTTGATCATATCGCTAGCGGTGGCATACCACGGTATGCATGTAGCGAGGCAGGCATTGTCGGTGACCGAAACATGAAAAACTCTTGGTACAAATCTGATTACATCGTTGGCGGTGGCATACCACGGTATGCATGTAGCGAGGCAGGCATTGTCGGTGACCGAAACATGAAAAACTCTTGGTACAAATCTGATTACATCGTTGGCGGTGGCATACCACGGTATGCATGTAGCGAGGCAGGCATTGTCGGTGACCGAAAAATGAAAAACTCTTGGTACGAATTTGAATACATCGTTGGCGGTGGCATACCATGGTATGTATAGCGAAGCAGGCATGGTTGGTGACCGAAGAATGAAAAACTCTGAGTACGAATTTGCTTACATCTTTGGCGGCGGCATTTACCACGGTATGCATAGCTAGACAGGCATTGTCGGTGACCGATAAATAAAACATTCTTGATATGAACTTGATCACATAATTACTCGGCGGTGGCGTATACACGATAAACCACAAGAAACATGAACCACGGTACGGTACGCATTGCAAGGCAGGCATTGTTGGTGACCGACAAATGAAAAATCCTTCCATTGCTTCGTTGACAACACCAGGTATCAGATTTTCAAGAGGCCGAAAATACGTCCATATCAGGGTCATCGTGTTGTTGTTGCCTCAGGTTTGGTGCTCCCGACGACATGAACGGCACCAGACAAAACAAGGGCATGTATCTGTCACAACTACACCGCAACACGTTGTCTCCAAGAACAATCATGATTGCGTCTTGTGTGTGATACTTCAAGCTGCTTCCAACGGCACAAGGATACCAGCTACCACAAGAGACGCTTGGTACATTCTGGGGATATTAGGGTAGCAGGGGATGCGCGGTAAGACCAGGTCGGACGGCATGCACTACAGTCGGGATCCTTCTACGTACATATGGGGCAGGTGAGATATCTTGGCACAGGTTATTGGAAGGCAACCACAAGTAAAGTGAAGGGCATAGTGTGTTATCTGCGATCACGCGTCCTGCAGCAAACGGGGCGAAGCGTGTCGAGGTACCACCGATCAGGAGGGTGGTCTAGAGAGGAGAGGAACGGCAAACCTTGTTGTTGAACTGGCGCGCGGACGACAGGCTCGGACACCTTTCCGGAATTCATTGCTACCCCGCTTGCTGCAAGCGTGTTCCTCTTCAATTCAATTCACGTGCAACCGGCCAAAGGAGAAACCCCGATTGAAGCAGCACCAAAATTCCACGAATAACCCCAACCCTAAATCTATCCCAGACTACTCTCTGTGGAGGGCATGAAAACTTGTTGCGTGGTAACACTGAAAAAAAGTCATACGGCGGATACGATATGAAGAATGGAAACAGGGGGGGGGGAAGCATACGCACTTTCAACGCCGCCTGGGTCTGTGTCTGCGTGCACTCCACTGCTCGGATCTCGTGATCCCCAAATAGTCCGTGGTGGCCGTCATGCCCTTCGTGGTCCTCGGGGTGGTGGTGGTCGTGATCTCCGTGATCTCCGAAATGCTCGTGATCCCCGAAATGCTCGTGATCTCCGAGTCCAACGGGGCCGTGGTGTTCGTCGTGGTGCCCCTCGTGTTCATCGCCTCTGATCATCATCATCATCATCATCAGCAGCAGCAGCAGCATAGGTAGAGAGGGTTGATTTCATGGGTGTACTGCTGCATCACGGACAAAGTAGGCTCGTCCAAACAGCATCGACATCAAGTGTCCACTGCGCGCCGAATAAATAATACCGTATACGACACAAGATAACGCACCCCCTCGACCGATTTTCAAAGCTCGATGACTCCACGACGAAGAGGATTATTAAACGAAACAATACATTTTTGGAAAGCTCTTGACGAGACGGTTCCAACGCCGCCGTTTTCGGCGCCGTGACTCTTTCTGTTGTTGATAAATCGAGATTTGAAAATCGGTCCAGGGGGTGTGTTGTGTCATTAACGGTTATGTCGGCTGTGAGTTTCAAAACAGGCATGGTGTGTGCTGTCATCCTTCTGTACATCAGGTTCCGCCCTTGGGTACATACGTTTGAACAAACCGCCGCCGACATTGCAAAGGAGAAAGATCACCCAATCATTTTCCCCTGCTATCGTACCTACGAAGTAGATGCTAGCATATAGTAGCACACTACCGCCATACGCCATGGATGTCCGGCTTGCACGATACCTACCGCCGTTTCCGAACCTCGAGTACTCCACGACGAAATGATGAAGTCCAATAAAACACACCACACGTTTTCGTAAAGCTCTCAATAAGCCGGCCCCAATGCCGCAATACCCTTGATGCCGTGGAGAAATCGAGCATTGAAAGATTGCCTAGGGGGTGTGATAGCCAATATCACCTAGACGGCACATTGCAGGAAGCTTGCGCGGTCAGGTTTCAAGCAGAGGGCATCGATCGGTCTCATCAACCTTCGCTAGAGCGATTAATTGAACCGGCCCCTTTTGACCGCGTTCCAAAGCTGAATTTCTCCGCGACGCAAGCGTGTGCCACACACTTTTATACAGTTTGAAGAGAAGAGCCTGATCCAAACGTGCGATATCTATGCGACCGTGCGTGCTAAGGCACGCCAACGCTGAATTGCTCCGCAACTCAGGCGTGTGCCACACATACAGTTAGCGCCCGCGTCAAGAAACGTCAACTTGGGGTCGAGGCTCAATTCCATACTTCACGTCGAAATCACCGCCATTGAGCATCATGATGGGTCATTGCATAGAGTTCAGGGTAGTATCCACGGCTATGGTGTGTTTCTTAAGCACTACCGTAAGGTTGCAGAGTCAGCGCGCAGGGGTGCGAACGATTTTCAAAGCGCAATTTGTCCACAACCAGGAGGTTACCGCGGTCGAAAAGAGCGGTTTTGGAAAGATCTCATCGAGAGCTTTCCTGAGAAAAAGCAGTTGCCGCTCGCACCCTCCTGATTGTGGAGAAAATACGCTTCGAAAATCAATCGCATTCCTGTGCACTGACTTTGCAATCTTACGGTAGTCGTCGATTTTTCTTAACTATCGCCAAAATCGAAGACCTAACAATACAAGCAGTTTCTTTGAGGTTTGCTTCTTAATCGCGGGCGCTGACTGTACGGCTGTGCTCGGGAGCTGTCGACGATATCCAAAGCCGCTCTGTTTGACAACGGCATATCTTCCCCCGTGGAGAAACCGAGCTTTGAAACACGGCCAACGGGGAGTCTTACATGGTACCCTAATTAAATATCGTAGGGCAGCGTGCGGTGTATGCACGCAAGCGAATTCGTTTTTTTCACAGATGAGAGTAAACGGATAGATCAGCAATGAATTCACAGCACCATATGCATATGGTGATGGCCAACCGGCGAAAAGTCTTTTGCTGAGGGGATAGCCTGATGCGTATGGCAGCGCGATGTCGTGTGCTGCACGTACGCAGCCTCGCTTGAATTGATATGTCCTTCCGCCCATATTGGACGCGAAAAGAACCATTGACAGCGGTCCTGTCGATATCGGGATACCGAATACCCTCGGAGCCAGAGCTGACGACTCCAGTTGTGCCCACGACTTGCTCGAACGCAACGGTTGACGGTCGGAATATCATTTCTCGGACATTGCCTGCCTTGTTTTTTTTTTACTTTGGTCAGATTTTTTTTTTTTTCTCCCATCATTGGACTCTGTCGTCTGCCCCTCTGGCCCCTATCCTCCACTTCTACCAGCTAGACGACCCAACCGGGGTCACATAGGAGGGTGGGGGTTGGAACCCCTTCCTGCGGTTCCTGCCTGAGGTATTTTTATCGCGAGAAGGGTACAGCGATCCCTTCCCTCGCGACTTATGAAGTCGATCAAGTTTACTAACCACGAGCTTTGCAGCGCGTCGCTTCCAACGGAAATTTTTCCGTATGACCCGACGACTCCATCCCTATTGAAGAAAAGAGTAAGATAGACTAATAGCAATGAATCCTAGCTTTCTGGCGTTCAGCAACCTAGCGCTAACCGCGCACACTAACCTAGCCCTTACCCCTCTTGCTCCGCGGCTTGCGCGTAGCGTGCACGTAGAGCAACCTAGCGTTTCACCTGTCCCGCTGTCGGCTCACGTGCGGAGCAACCTCGCGCTATCCGTGTACACCAATCTAGCTCTTACCCCTTGCGGCCAGCTTGACGCGAACTAAGCCTACTACGTACAGCAGTGACCTCAGCGCTTACCAGTGTGGTACACATGTAGCTTTGGGTCGGGTTGTTTGTGTTGGGGTTAGGAATAGGGGTATAGACTATCCATCCTAGGTTTGGACCATCGCGAAAATGTACAGCAGCAGGCCGGGTTCGAACACGTATCGTTGGCTTTAAAAGGAAGCGGGCTTTCCATCGGGGAATATTTCGCCTTCTCCATCCACGACCTCCGCCCGGCTGTGCCTCGGGCTATGCATATACTGCAACTGCGTGGAGTTGTATCCAGGAAGTTTCCACAAAAAAAAACCCGTCAACCATTGCATTCAACCAAGACCTTTCTCACCCCTCCTTTCTACCAACAGCCAAGTCGCGGAATCACTACTGGACGCCGGAACCACTCCCGTCTCCTGACATCCAAGAGACACACACCGACATACGACCTCTGTAGAGGGAGCAGCCGATAGTAGACAGAGGGGCTTTACGACATCCGCGGCACCCCGGCCTGGCAAGCCGTCACGCGTGATAGGGAAGATAAAGTTTTGTGTGATCTGGTGTTATTATGAAACCGGGCAAAAAGCATTGCTAGCGGCGCCGCGGTTGAGACGGGGTGACAACAAGGGTTACGTGCGATCTCGAAGCCTCCCGCGCAGCTGTGTGTGAAAAGAGAGATGTTTAAAGAAGCAGAAACACAAGCAGGAAGAGACGCGGGGGCGGGGCGGGCAGGGATCACAGGCAGGAAGGAAGTGGGAGAATACTCTAGCGGAAAAAAAGGGGCGTCGATTACAGCGAGCCCTCAATTCCCCCACCCTCCCTCGCGAAGACATCATACGTAGCGTGTGATCACCACACGGTACGGGAGCGGTGTGTTCCTTCCGTCTACATTATTTTTTTTCAACGATCCAACATATCCATTTCTATCTGTACAAAAGACCCTAAGATAGGTTAACAATGGATTCATAGCGTCACCGGAAGCTACCTGTATTACTACTGCTACGATTTCCCGAGTACTACCATTTATGTTTGTAGTCACCAAGGAACTTTCTGGCACGTTTTTTTTCGCTCCGCGGCTCCGGAGGGTGTTGCCTTCGGTTGGAGAAATGTCTACCACCACAGCGGGATGGGAAAAAAATACGCCCACTACCGCCGCAAAAGGTTTCAGCGCAGCATAGCAGTCGTCTCCGGAAGTTGTAGTCACACCGGAGTCCACCTGTAGGGAGCTACTGCCGCTGTGAGGAGTTCTGGTTCAAGTTGGTGACTCGTACATGGTTACAGCAGTTCCCAGAAGTAGTCTACACCAGCTGCTTACGGCGAACCCCGCCACCATTATGGCGAGCCAAGGAAAAATGAGTAAACACAACTCTAATCAATCCCCATGATTCTTTTGCAGACAACGCGTGTCAATAGCGCTCTTTCATCCGGAGACTTAGTCGTGTAATCACGGTCACCAGCGTTGGTACCAGCATTTGCAACGTGACACGTGATGTGGCGGAATTATGGCGGAACATACTGGCGATGACGCCATGACGCGACACCATCAGTCAAGCACCGACCAAATGCCTTGTCTTGTGTGCATCCCTCGCCAAGCGGGCAGCAGAGTAGTGTGGGGGGTGAGCACCCTCCGGCTCGCGCGCCCTTATCACGCAAAATAACAGTTTGCGTGACAGCGTCATCAAATGCTGCAGCAATGGGCAGTGCAACACCGCTCTAATTGTAGTCCAGTTGTATGGAATTGTCAATAAAAACGCCGCACACTTTCCCAGTGTGTAGAAAACGCTGCTGCTATCCCCTCACACACAGAAAACAGCAGCGGTAAATCTCGACATATGCTCGCAACGCTCGTGTATCGTCCATTTTTTTTACCGCCATCCACTCACCTATCTCCCCCCGCGATAGTCACCAGCACGGCTACCGCGAGGAGACGTACCAGCAGCGCCGGTCGCGAAATTCCGACCCTCATTTTCTCCGATGCCTGCTCCCACCGCCGTATGTCGTTCAAGTCCGCCACCCCCTCAGCCTGATGTAATCTCCAAGTCAGATCACACTCCAATTGTTCGAGACAGACAGTAGACCGCCACACAGCAACAGTGATGAGTGTGACGCTCGGCGATCACACTGGAGCACAGAGCCGAGAGGACAGCCACGGGCAGCGAGAGCACACACGCACGCTGAACCCCGATACACGGAGCCCCCTACTGATACTACGGAGCCCCTTTCAATATTTTTATTTTTCTAATGATAAGCTGGTGCCCACCTGTCACATCGATCTCTCCACTCCCGGCCCGCCGTGCCACTGTACTACTGGTGCGTGCCCAACGACATACACGGGCCGCGTCACGCCATTCCGAACCAAGGTGGGCTTCGTGCGTCCCGCTTTGACGAACTGGGTTTGTTCGCAAAGCGCCTCTTCTCATTTCGAGAAAAACAGCGAGACCTGATTGTGTGATGTGCGGCAAGGAAAATAAATACCCCTCCCTCCAAACACAAGATTTTTTTGTTTTGCTTGGAAAAGTCGGCAGGGCGTGTTACAATGTACGAGGTGGAGAGAGCGAGTCAGGTACCCGTACCGATGCTCGTCCCTCTCGGGAACGGTATGGACAGAGAGATACCACGGCTCCCCCCCTAGCTCTTTCGCAAGAGAGTGATACTCTAGCGACTATCAAACCTGTTGCTTGTGTTGGCATCGCCCATGTACTCCCTCTTTTTCGCTTACAACGCCGAGCCTCTGCCCCGCTCCGCGTGTCTGCTGTCTGCTGTCTTCTTCAGCCTTCAGCCCCATCTCAGGCGGAGAACTCCCATGAGCAACACGGCAACCCCTGCTGTTGTGCCTCCCGAAGCAGCATCAGCGACTTCGACATCGGCAGCAGGTACACAAGCAGTAGATGGCTAACACCTATTTAGGTCACGATGGTTGATTTTTACTTTCGAAGGGGAGCCCTTCTTGGCACACAACACGTGTATCTTGCGGAGGCGTCTCAATGCACGCACATCTCTCCGTGTTGCTTGCCAGAGGGTGATACGCATTGTCGATAGGCTGCAGCGGCTGCTGTACTGGTGTTGTCATACCATGCCGCCAGATGTGCATGTACTCGACCACCATATGTCGTCACATGCGCACAAGTACTTGACCAAAACCTGATTGGAGAGAGGAAAGAGGTATTCACCATCTTTACCAACTGCCGTCAATTTAGAAGCTGGTGCTGGTGTATTTCTTTTTGTGTGGGGGAAGGTTATATCACATGAGCCCCCAGGACAACCCCCCCCCCCCAGGCTCCTTGTGGGTCATCGGTCTCATGTGTTTGCTCCGTGCCACATCTCCGCTGTTGAAATATGGTAGGCCTCGAGTTTCTTTGAGTCATGTAACGGGCTCGGCGCGTGCACGATACATACGGCAGAGTTCTGGGTGCTTAAACCGAAAAATGAGTAACCAGCTAACCTGCCGCCGACGGCGACGGTGCGATGCGAGCGATCCCCACATTCACACACGTATGCAGCAGTCACTATCTTGTGCTTCTAAGGTCGAGAAGGACCAGTGAATTCGTTGAGAGGGTGTCAATTGATTTACCGCGCAAGCAGGAGAACTCGCGGATGAACTCCTCTCGTCGTGTAATACGGCAGAGTTCTGTCCTTGCAGGGCATGGACACCTCGTTCGGTGCCATGCGAGCGATCTGGACGCCCACAGATACAACGCACACACACATCCGTCACCACTTTTGAGCTCCTAAGATCGGCATGAGCCAGTACGCACGAAGCTGGTGCGGATTCATCGCACAAATAGGAGCTCGCAGCAGTTCAACTTCCGGTGTAACACATACGGCAGAGTTCTGTGCTTGAACAGCCTGGTAGCACACCGCGCGCCGGTGCATGCGAGAGACCTGGGACGCTCACAGATAACAAACACATGTTGCAGCCAGCAGGGCTTCCAAGGTCGAAAAGAACCAACATGCATGCTCAGAAGATGGTGTAGATTTATCGCACAAACAGGAGCTGGCAGCGGTCCAAAGTGTGTCCTCCGGTGTAATACTGCAGAGTTCTGTGCTTGAACACTCCTCGTGTGCCGGTTAATGCGAGCGATCTTGGACGCTCACAGACAACAAACACACATTGCAGTCAGCAGGGCCTCTACTTCGGTCGAGACGAAACAATGAATTAATCGCGCAAAAGTACCCGGGTGTGTTTTGATAGTGCGTCGGCCCGCCAGGCCCTTCTTGTAGTTTCAAGTTTTTCAGCACAGGGCCTACACGCTTGGGCATGAGCACAGGCTATTCCTAAGCTACTGCTGCTGTTTTGTAAGTCTGATCGTGAGTGTGGCGCCGGCTGCTGAGCCGAATTCTCTCTGGCGCTGTTCTTACTTCCCCCGAAAGGCGGAGCTTGGATTCCTGTCGATATATTTCTGTGAGCGGGCGCCGACTTGGTCGTGAAATTGTAGCATGAACGCCGATATGCGTACCACAGCAACGCGGATGGACCCTCGCGGCAGTGCGTTGGTGTACAGCAGTGCTCACCGTAAGGTTAGGGTCATCGTCATACCACAATATCCTCTGGTGTAATCCCCCTCCATGTCTTAGCCCTTGTTTTTACGTTCCGTGGTACCCCCAAAACTTTGAATTTGCCCGGGAGGTATCGTTTTTTTCCTTCTTTTTCATTTTTTGCCCTCTATCTTTGGTTTAGCCCCTCGGTGTTCGTCTCTCGGCAGTTTTTTGAGGCGCGTTCGCACACATGCTCAAGGACGGCGTTCCAATGTGGCAGCATGTCTCGTGTGTGTGTCAGTTGCCGTATTTGCTGTATAATAGTTGGTTTTTGGTGTTGGTGTCAGTCTTGGTGTTGCAAGCGAGGTACTCACATTCTTCGAAGTTTTTTTTTTTCCGTCGTCGTCTTTAAATGGTGCATCGTATCGGTACTGCTGTCCACCAAAATCGTTCACAACAAGCAAATAGTTTGGTAACTCAAGACAACTCTCGCTCTCGCGCAGTGTACAGCACAACACAGCGCTCTGACCCACACACTGTCGGGACTCAACAGCATCTATGAGAAAGCATTCTACAGTGTAGTCTTGGGGGGTCCCATCGACGGATCATGTCTGCGTCACCCCCTGCCTTGGCGTGGCAACGCAAGGACATAGACAGCAGCAGCAGCAGCAGCAGCAGCAGTTGCGTTTGGCTTGTCGTATCGACAGTAGACCTCTCGACGTCTTCCCACGTATTCATTGGTGGTCCTGTGAACCGTCAAACAACGAAACCAGAAGCTTACATTATTTGCCAGCGCGATCCAGACCCCGACCTTTTTTTGTCCTGTTCCTGCGTATGCCCCTCCCTCCTCCAAACCGACGGGTACAGCAGGCCAAGGCAGTACGGGGACCATGGCTGCCCCAGCAGCAGCAGCCTTTGGTGCGGACAACGTGGCTACCTCCTCCCCATTCCAGGCGCCGTGCCCCGTCACCTTGTCAGTGTCTCCGTCGGCCCTAAAGTCTGCTCCTGCTGGCGCCGGCCGCGGCGTTGCCGCCGCGGCGGCCGCCGTCGCCGCTGCCGCCGCTGTCGGCAACGGCGGCGGCAGCGGCAGCGGTAGCAGGACCGGGATCGCGACCGGTGGCTTGGTCTCTGGCCGCCTCAGCAGCGCTGGCAACAGTGTAGCGACACCCGTGCACGGTCACGGTGGAGCAGCGGGCTTCGGCAGCGGCAGTTTCGCTGGCGTTCACGCCGACGCTCCTGCCGGAGAGCACAGCTTTGGCGGCGGCGGCGGTAGCGGCGGCGGCGGGGGCGTTGGGTTGATGCCGCCGGGCCGCTCGATCCCGCGGTGCGGTGGTGGCGGTAGCAGCACCTCGGGTCCTCCCTTCCCCGTGTGAGTTTTTTTGTCGTCCTACCGTAGGTTGCGTAAGATATCACATCCCCTGGACCGATTGACAAAGCTCGATTACTCTACCACGGAGAGGATGCCGAAATTGAAGTATACGTTTTCGGAAAGCTCTCGACGAGACGGTTCCGACGCCTCCCGCCATCATGTTCGGCACAGTCATTGTTTTTCCTGCCGAGACATCGGGCTTCCAATGTTGGTCCAGGGGGTGTGATATCTTGTGTCATGTACGGTACTCGTGTAGGTTGTTTTCTTCTTGTCTTTGCTTGTATGCATGCCCCAACAAGATAGGTGTTTTTCTTTTTGGCGTGTTGTTTGCTGTCTTGTTTCTTTTTTATCTTGTTGTGCGCACTCGCAGAAAATACATGTCTACACACTAGTGCTAGGCGTGAGCTTGGTCCCGCCGTGTGTCTTGTTGGGGGTACTCCTATCTTGCAACTCCCGTCTTCGACTCCAATCCCTCGCCACATGCCTCGATGGCTTCACACCGCCCTGACTGACCACAAGCTCCCCACTGGCACCATCAACAACCTCTTGCCCCACTGCTACGCACGCATGAACGCGCGATCACGTCACGCGGCAGGTCTAGGCCTTCGCGGAAAAGGGGCGATTCCGAAGAAATTTCCGAGGGTTCTTCGAGGGGGTCAACCCCAGTGGGCGGCAAGCGCAGGAGGCGCGACGGCAGCGACATCGCGGGCCACTGGCACTGCGTGTTCAAGCTCACCCCAGACGAGAACACTAGCTTTATGGACAACATCAGGGTGCGTTAAACAACTTCAGGATGCGTTAAACTGCTTCAAGCTCACCCCGGGCGTAACATTAGCTGCTTGAGCAGCAACAGAGTGGGTTAAACAAGACGATGCATTTTTTGAGGGTGCGTTAAACAGATAGGTACTACGCACAACAGCGATATGAATAACATTAGGGTTTGTTAAACCGCTACATCGACAACACGAGGGTTCGGTTATTACCCGGCCCTGGAAGATTGGGCCTCGAAACGCAAGTTATTCCGCGCGTTCGAGCTCGCGCCCGGGAACCGAAGTTTGGCATTTTTTAGTAGACAACTTCGGGATAACTTGACTGCTCGCCGCTGCGAACATCCCCTCTCATCCTAGCATAGCTTGTCGAAGCTTTCGTTTAGAACCCCTCTTGACTTTCCTGTTTGGTTTATTCATTCGAGGATTGCCCTTTTAATCTGTCAACCAACTTATTTCGTTCACGGTTTCGGCAGGAGCTTTACGAAAAGGAGCAGCTGTGTGACATCACCCTTAGCGTGGAGGGTGAGGAATTCAGGGCCCACAAGGCCGTTTTGGCCTGCAGCAAGTCCTTCCTGGGCACCCTGATGATGAGCAACATGAGGGAGTCCACGCAAGATGTCATCGAGCTGGAAGACATCAGCTCGCGACAGGTTCGTCCGTGCATACGTGTGTTTTGTGTTGTTAGCATCGACCACCTTTATGGGCTGACCAATGAACAGACGTCAGCGCCAGCGGGTGAAACTAAGGTCCCTGGAAGGGGGCCAAAATTCGATCTATGTGCAATGCACATGCACAAACTGCTTCTTGTGCGTGCGTGTGTGTGGGCATCAGTGTACGTGAGCAGGTCGCCCTTGTTTGTGCTGTACAAGGCAACCAACTGCTCTTTTGAATCATTTTGTGGAGGCCGGGTAATTGGAAATTCGAATGCCATACAATGTGTTGGTCGTTCCTTGATGTTATGTCTGATTTGTCTGTCTGTCGGCCTGTCTATACTCCAGTTCAAGATCCTGCTGGACTATATGTACAACAAGCCCATCTCGGTTCCCTCTTCCCAGATGATGGACCTCCTTTCCCTCGCCAACCGATACCAGGTGATGACTGGATTTGTGTTGCTGCTGTTAATGTCGTTGCTGCTGTTACTGTTGTTGCAGCTGTTGCGACGTGTAGTGTTGGGGCTGTTGGTGTCAGTACCTTTAGATAGAGGGTCGCAGTATGTTGCATTTCGTCTTCCTTCACTTCCTTGCTCCTCAAACCGATGCAGAAAGCAGCACCAACAACCGACATCAGCGTCGAACCAATTACAGCTCACCTCCCTGTCTGAACCTGACCTGAGCGCCAAAACCGTTCATTCTCAGCACCCTCCTTAGTCCGAACACTGGCATCAACCCCAATCGATCTCAACACCCCTCCGTGAACCAGCCTCCCTGTTGGCACCAACACCAATCATCCCCACCAACGCCACGCGACGCGTCTGTCCCACCGCCCTCTTGCGTGTCAGGTGGAAGGCCTGAAGGACCAGATGTGCGACGCTCTGTCGACACACCTGACACACGACAATGCCTGCTCGGTGTTCGCATTGGCGGACAGCCACCAGTGCCACACGCTTAAGGCCGAGGCCTTCTCCAAGATTGTACAACACTTCGCACTCGCAACGCGTTCGGATGGGTGGACAGCTCTGAACAAGGACCAACTGTCAGAGGTAGGGCTAATTTTCATCCCCCAATTTACAACATGTGCACGAGAAATTTACGGAGCGGCGCCTTTTTTCAAATATTCATGGGAAAGTCTTTGTTGTTTTTATTATTGCGACGCGAGCTTTCCCTCAAGTCTGTCGTATGTGGGTTTCACAGTATTGACCTCGAGTTGTAACTCCACATGAATGTTGTAAGGCCGACCGCCCTGTACAAGGCCGGTGAAATCGAGTGATACAGACACTGGATATTCAAGTTGTCTTGTCTTGTCTTGCACTTGTCGTGGGGCGATTAATTGGAACGGAACGAATGCAATCGAATCGAAACTAGTCAGAAACGAACCGACACGGCACGATGAAGCGATACGAAACTAGTCAGAAACGAACCGACACGACACGATGAAGCGATACGAAACTAGGCAGAAACGAACCGACACGGCACGATGAAGCGATACGAAACTAGTCAGAAACGAACCGACACGACACGATGAAGCGATACGAAACTAGGCAGAAACGAACCGACACGGCACGATGAAGCGATACGAAACTAGTCAGAAACGAACCGACACGACACGATGAAGCGATACGAAACTAGGCAGAAACGAACCGACACGGCACGATGAAGCGATACGAAACCTAGTCAGAAACGAACCGGCACGACATGGTATGAAATGAAACTAACCGCCTTGACACGACACGACTCGAATCGAATGGAATCGGAACAAAGGTGCTGTCGTCTGACCAAGTGCTGGACTGCGACGAGTCGGTGGTTTTCGATGCCGCGTCGAGGTGGCTGCTCCTGGATTCTTCTCCATCCCGTAGAAGATTTGCCCCTGAGGTTTGTCTGTCCATCTGTCTGTCTGTCTGTCTGTCTGTCTGTCTGTCTGTCTGCGTGTGTGTTTTTTTTATGAAGCACCTACCGCGCTATTAGGCTGATGATTGAAAGCAAGCAGTCTTGGCGCGGCTTTAAAAAACAATGGCAAGGGGCCAGCTTCAGTGTCGTGTTGGGAGACCGATGTTTTACTGGGGAGATGATGCTGCTAGTGGTACTTGTGCGGTTGAGTTTGAAGGGCGCATTCCGCCACGTGGTGGTTTAAACTGTCCTATCCTCACTCTCAGGTAATCGTATCGTATGAGGCTTCTGTGGCTGCCCAGTCTTGTCGTTGTTATGTCCACGAGACCCTTGTTTTCGTTAGGCGTGCATCCGAAAGCGTCACAAAAACGTGCGTGTCTGTGATGGTGTGATTTAAACAGACGTGACAACACACGGTCACGAACCACGAAACCAGCTCTGTCCCCGCCGCCTAAAAGGTAAAAATGCAAACAGACATTCAGCGCATCCCCTTCGACTGTGGTATTATCTCGAACGGGTGATCTTTGTGTGAGATTATGTATCCTTTCTAAAAACAGACACCGCAGTCGGCAACCACTTGTGCGCTCGAGCGAGTTTTCCTGACGTCGTTCGTGTTGACATTGCTTCATTGTGCTTGCAAATCGACCGTTCGTCTTGGGGGGGGGGGGGGGGGGGGGGGGGGGGGGGGGGGGGGGGGGGGGGGGGGGGGGGGGGGGGGGGGGGTTCCGTGCATGAAGGTTCTGGGGATGGTTCGCTTCCCGCTGATGGACGCCGGCCTCCTGAGTGACGTCATCAAAGACCACGAGGCTACTAAGGTGACGCAATTGAGAGTCCTGGGTGATTTGTTAGCACGGTATCCGCATCGAGTAGCACCAGTCCTTCAGGTCAGTTGTAGGGTTGGAATATTGACACTGGCGGCAGTGCTGGAAGGTATTAAAGTCGGAGCACCTCAACAGTAAACACAACAACGATAACAAACTCAACACTGACACCGCCGCCGCCAAACAATATCAACACCAACACCTCCAACACCAGCTGCGACAATGATGGCGTTTCATGACGCAGGGCTCGGAGTGTCAGAAGCTGATCGCAGAGGCATGGGAGCACCACGCCTTGAAGGCGATAGGCCGAGAGGGGCTCACGGGGACACCGAGGACCAAACAGCGACGCAGGTCATGCAGCTTCAAGGTCAGTTTCTCAGTCTCTGTATCGTACCTACAAATGCATGCTAAGCACAAAGCAGCGAGTGGTTTTCTGCAGGTTTGTGCAGCGTAAAGGTCAGTTTCTCAGACTCAGAGTCTCAGGCCCTGCATCATAACTTCAAATGCGTGCTAGACGCGCAACAGCAAGCTGATTTGGAAGGGCACAGTACTCCCCCCTACTTGTCTTAGTGCCCCCACTGCTGAATCTGGGGTGTTTTTGCGAATAATCCACCAGCCAGGTTGTTTCGCCCACACTCTATTTCGACGCACTGCTGCATGAGTGTAAACCTCCACTCTGTCTGTTGTTTGTGTGCCCAATGTTTCAACAGCAACACACCCTGTTGAAGGAGCACCAAGACGCGGTCAGCGCTCTGGCGGTAGTCAACGGCAAGCTCGTCAGCGGTTCGTGGGACACCAGCATCAAGGTATGTGGTACGGTTTCGTACCCTACGGTACGGTATGGCGTGGTTTCGGAGGTTGTCGTACTATGGCACGGTTGTGCGGTATGTTGTGGTGTCCAATATGGTACGCTACGGTATTGGAAGATGTTGAAATATGGTACGGTGCAGGTTTGGGCATGTGCTTTCTCATCTATGCCGCGTGCTGTTGCCGTTCCCGTGTACCCCAAGCGGCACACACATGAACAAAAAAACAACGGCTCTTTGCAGTGCACCAGACAACACGTAAGATACAATGCCCCCTGAACCGATTACCGATTTCAACGGTCGCCTACTCCACAGCCGGAGCATGACTTTGCCGAAAATGGCTGTTCCCAAAACGTATCGTTTGACTTGTGCGTCCTCGTCGTATTGAAGCAAAGGAGCTGTGAAAATCGAAATCGACCCAGGCGGTGTGTTATGTTATTCGTATGTAGTGCCACGTAAGGTTCTTGCCCGAAGACGTCGGCAAAGGACACAGCAACCACTGTGTCATGAATTACCCCGGACCAATTGACGCGACACGTGATGCGTGGCGGGTAGGTGTGGGACCCTCAATCGTGGACGACGGAGCGGACCCTTTCCGACCACACGGGACCTGTCCGGTGCTTCGCGCAGTGCGCCGGGCGGCTTCTCTCCGGCAGCGACGACAGCTGCATCAAGGTGATTGGTCGAGCCGTGTTTGTGCTGTTGTTGCTGTTGTTGTTGTTGACAATGAACGATCGGTTCCAACGCCAGTATTTTCAAGAAAATCACTTTTTTTGCTCCAGAATATATGACGTTGAAACTCAGTCCCAGGGGTACGGTGTCTCTCCCATGGTTTGCCCTGCTCCGCATGTGTGGGTTCCTCTCAACTAGGTGCACCCTTCTTTGCTCGTCCAATTATTGTGTTTTTTTTCTTCTGTTCTTCACTTGTTAAAGCTATAAAACACTGACAACGACGCCCCCATTAAGTTGTCGATCTGTCTTGCTGGTTGCTGGACTTGTTTCTTGTTGAGGCTTTGGACACGCACGGATTCGTGGAACCGATGTTTTTCTCATCCAATTTTTTGTTGATTTTCCTGTTGGTTTTTCACCTGTTAAGGTGTGGAACACGGACACGTGGAGCTTGGTGCGGTCGTTGGACGACCACACGGATGCCGTCAACGCGGCGACGGACTGTAACGGCAGGCTTGCTTCCGGGTCGGACGATGGCACCATCAAGCTCTGGAACACCGAAAACTGGCAGTGCGAGGTACTGCTGTGTCCAAAAAAACTTTTTTTTTTCTTGCATGAGATTCTACCGGTGCTGCTGCATGTTTGAACCGGGTGCTTTGGGCCTTTTTTTTTGTTTGTCTCTTGCCCAATTATCCTGGGCGCTAATCTACACCACTAATTTCGGATAGGTTTGTGTCAAGTTTGTGTTTGTGTGTGTGTGTGTGTGTTTTTTTTTTTTACTTGTCCGATCGTTTCTGTGGGCGACGAAGCGAGGGACCGGATACTCAACGTTCATGAGTCATACCGGTACCTGCGACTTTTTTTGTTTTTTGTCTAGATCGGAACGTTTTTTGTTATGTGAAGACAGCAACAACAACATCTGTTTAGAGCGCAATCCTCCGCCTGTTGGTACACGTTTTGACGCACCAGACGGGGTCACGCAAGTGCCTGTATGAAGTGTTTGTTTGGAGAATTCGGTCGTCGTACCTGTTGGTATACCTGCTTATGCTTTGCAGGTGACGATCCACCAGCATCAGGCGGACCATACCTGCGGGGTTCTAGCCTTGGCTACGTGCGGCGATTATCTCGTGTCAGGGTCGGACGGGGGCATCAAGGTACAGCAGTGGTGCAGTGCAGTGTTGTTTAGCCCCAAATTGGCTCCTCTTGTGCGTAGGCTACAAGCCGGGCTAACTCACCAAGGCTACAAGCCGGGCCGTCTCACCATGCTTTAAACGTGCTGGTACACCTTTCGGCAACTTGTTGATGACTGCCTACTTGCAGCTTGTCTCGTACTCCTACGCTATGCCATTTTTCTGCATGCCCTCAGAATATTCCATCGACGTGTTGTCCGTGAAGCCTTTGTGGAGATTTCCATGATCATGATTTGATGCTCATGCCGAAAGGCTCTCCACGCCAAGCTTGCATCGAAATACCACACCCTCTCCGTTTTTCACGACTATTTCGGATTTCACCACTGCTAATGTCGGCATGTGTGATGCATCATGCTTGCATCCTTCCGTATATTTCTTGCGTCTCCCCTCTTCCAACAACGAAACCAGTTGATCTCGATCCACAGATGAAAGAGTCGAGGATAAAGCAACGTCTGTCCCTGTCAATAATGGCTCTCTTTGAAGTATGTTCTTGGCTTGATTTTTTTTGCTATTATTAGGTCTGGAACACCCACAACTGGACATGCCATAAGGAGGTACACGGAGACGAGATCTGGTCCCTGGCGGTTGTAGGCGACAAGCTCATCAGCGGCTCGATCGACAGGTGGGGGGTGCCGTGTCTGTGCTAAAAGGCGGCAAGCTCATCAGTGGCTCCCAACGACTGATGTCGCTTGGTATTTTGTACTCGGTCGTGATACTGATCTGCGGGGCCTCGTGGGGGGTACGTATGTGATAGTGGACAGTTTGATATGTCGGGGCACCTCGTTGCTCCGTGCCCTCGCGGTGGTGGATAAGACAAGGTGGTTTTGGCCCCTTGGAGTCATGCTGGCTCATGCCGTCTCACCGTCCGGGTGTTATACCGATGTCACCCGACATCCCTCGGTACTCAGACACAGCAGGCGCACCGTACACGGGGATGTCTTCGTCGACCCATCAAAAACGCCAGTCGACCCATCTCGACTCCGGTTGTTCCTTGTATCAGTCGTCCGGCAGAATGGATGGGTATTGAGGTACCGTTCGCTTGTCAAGCCCCCCCCTTTTTGTTTGTGCTTCTTGCCTTGTTGTATCGATGTGTTGATGGATCGTCAGCACTATCCGGGTGTGGGAGACGCAGACGTGGGGTTGCGAGAAGCAGGTCGAAGGTCACGCGGGACCGGTCTACGCCCTCACCGTCCTGGAAGGGAAACTGGTGAGGAAAGGGGGAAGGGAGAAAGTACGGTCTCGCCAGTATCGCAGCGTGCATGCATCCGCCGTGGCTGGCCCGCCCTTGATGAGTCTTCTTCTCGATACTATATTTGATGATGCGTCTTGGCGTGGGTAGTAGGCTTCGTGTCGACGTCATGTATGATGTTCCTTGTGCGTCGTTAGTCAGCTTTGTATCGACGTCCTGTGTGGTGTTCCTCGAGTCGTTCGTCGGGTCCGTCTCTACTTTGTCGTTGACCTTGGGACGTTGGCGTCGGCATGGATCTCGACACGGTACGGCAGTAACCTTTTGTTCTGTCCTATTTTTCGTTGCTTGTCATCATTCAAGGTCCTCCTTTTGACGCTTTAGTTTTGCGAGCGGTCCGCCATACGATGTCATCGGTCGAACGGTGGTACTGCTGTTCCGTGGTACGCCTTGGTGTATCGTCTGGTCGGGCACTGAGGAGAGACCGGAAACGGTTTGGTAAACGTGTGAGGATGATGACAACAAACATCACAACAACAACAACAACAACAACAACAACAACAACAACAACAACAACAACAACAACAACAACAACAACAACAACAACAATAACAACCATAGTATGCGCGTGATCACGTGTCACGGTTGATTTTGGATCGCCACAGGTGTCGGCCAGCAGCGACCACACCATCCGGGTGTGGGGTCCGGACTGGGTGTGCTGTCGGACCCTGGAGTGCTCCGGCGTGTGGTCCCTTAACGTGTTCAACGGCAGGCTTGTGTCTGGCTCACTCGACAACGCGGTAAAGGTCTGGGGGGTTTGATGATCCCTACGGCTGGCTGGCCATCAATAATGATCTTGATATCTTTTCTCGACACGGCTGGCTATCGATCATGGTCTTGATTTTGATAGCTTATCTCCACGGCTGTCTATCGATCATGATCTTGATACCTCAATGTTGGCTTTCGATTATAGTCTTGATATCGATATCTCGGTGTTGGGTTTCCCCAGCTAGCAGCTCGAATCGTGTCGGTAATGAGGTCCCGAATGCGAACGATTTTTTTTTATCGAATCGTGTGGACGAGAGTCACCTGTAGTTCGCCCCACAATGGCGGAGGCGCGTCTCTATTCAAGGCAGCCTCTACTTGTAGGCGATCCCGCGGTGTAGTGCTAAGGCGGTTATGCGTGTACCTGTTGGCGTTCATTTTTTTTTTTTCACGGTTGAGAAATCGTGGGAGCCCCATAGCTACGTCTCTGCCGCTCGATTCGATTGCGGACTTATTTTTTTTAATTTTTTGTTGGGGGTTTGGATAACGGACGGGAGGCAAATACCCTCGCGAGGGGCTCAAGCGTGACACACGGGGAAAACTGCAAGCATTTACCGCACGCGAGCTTTTCCCCCTGTCGTGTGGAGTGGGGATGGCCACGGCCGTATGTAGAGCGACGAACGGTGATTGGCTAGAATGAATCGTTGTTGTCGCATGGTACGATCTGGGGCGGCCGTACCTCATGAGTTACCGAGGCAAAGGGGAGCCATGTGTTTGTTTGGGGTGTCAAATCTCAGTGAGCGTAAGGGGGGCGGGGGGGGGGGGGGCGGGGGATTTGAAGGCTTTGAAAAAACAACTTTGACGAGACGGAGAGAAAGAAAGAGGCTAGGTGGAGGTACCAGGCAGAAGCAGAGAGGAGGTGGTTGAGACCATCTCGCGAAAAGCGCGAAACAATTGAGAAAACCACCAATAACAATATGAAGAATTAATATTTTGACAGCAGTCTCGCGAGAAAGAGTTGAGTAATAAAACGAAAAACGGATGAACTGTGTTGACGGTCAGAGAGTAGTGGAGTGGCATCAATCCCGACTTCGTCCGTATTGTATGCTGGTAGATGTACTTTTGTCTCTGGTAAACTAACTAGTAGGGTGTGTGTGGAGACCGCTGCGGCGTTCGGCTCAGCTGGCTGAATGCGTCTTCTGATGGCGTGGGCTTGGAAGAGAGGATGCGTCGGGAAACAGAGCACGCTGACCGCGCGCGGTGTGGCTCGCTCAAGTTCGGTACAACATACACGGACCAGGATAAAGAAAATAATGTTTTGCGTTTCGTTGAGCTGGGGATATAAGGATGGGATGTTTTTTTTCGCAGAGAACCTTCCCGGAATCTGTTTTTTCTCGGTCTGGGAGCGTGTCCGAGTGATAGGGGGTGTGCCTTTCTTGTGGCTGGCCTACAGTGTCTGCTAAGATTGGTTGTGCATTGTAGGAAAGGCACACAGTAAACAATGCCGTGAGCTAGGCTGTTGTCCTCTGGCACCTCTCTGCTGCTGCAGCCCTTGTGCGAGCTGTTATTGGGGTCGTGGACTTTGTTTGTACCTGTAGTACTCTTCGTTGTATTCTGTGGAGTTACGTTAGGATTGGCGTGCTTTTTAGTTTGGTTTCAGGTCGAACGTGATAGTTGTGTCTACGCTGTCCGTGAAAATCGCGGAAATATACATCCAGGATTCAAGTCCATTGTCGCAGTTGTCAAGCTACAGTAGGGTCTTTCTCAGCGAAGGTGGCTGTCGAGCGTTGGGCCGTCGATCGATCGGCTCCTCCTCTGTCCTTCCGTGTGCTAGCTGGACTACGGTTAGCTCGGGCCGACCTCAGGGCCCACCGACAACATTTACGCATATTCAAAAAACAAGGTGCAGGAGTCGAAGCCAGAAAATGTTTTTTTCTGTGCAAGAGTTGATTTGATTGTCTTTGTGCTGGAAAAAAAGGAATGGTTTTGTCTGTCAGATAACTCAAAAGGGTTGTAGGTTTCGCCTCTCTTTGTGCGGCTTAGGGCCGCTGTAGGTTTTTGTTTTTGTTTTTTGTGGGGTGTGGAGTTATTTTTGTCGACTAGGGTTGACAGCACCTACTGCACCTCTGCTGGATCAGCCGATCGTTGAACGCCGTGGGTGGTTGCACGGACGGGCTCTGCTTAGTCCCAGGGCGGCGAGGCATGTATGTTTGTCGTTTTTTCGTGTAGGCTGAACACGGCAATGTAATGAATCGACAAACGAGGCTCTGACAAAACGACGTCTGGTTGACCAGGACACCTGATGGCGTTTTCAGTGCGTAGGAGGAGGAGGAGGAGGAGGAGGAGGAGGAGGAGGAGGAGGAGCGCGAGATGAATGGATAGATTATTAGGGTAGGAGGAATGTTTCGCTCATGCACGCATACGTGCTTGAATGTGCGACACCTATATTTCCTTCATTGCGATGGTTTTGTTTTGAGACGCATGTCTCTTGTGTAGGTTTTGGCTTGGCGCTTGTGTAGCGGTGATAACACTTGCGTAGCTCAGGTTGACAAATGAGCGAGGTGGGAGTGGGCAGCTGGCGTTGGATGGGCGGTGGCTGGCTTTGGATCACACTCTGGGGGGGGCGAAGAGAATGGAGAAGAGGTTGTGGACTCAATCTCTCTCCCATACGTGCCGCCGGGCGAACAGATGGGAGACGACGCTTTTGTGGCTCAAAAGCTATCTCTCCATCACAAAGTCCGGCAAAGCGGGGACGGATAGGTGTAGCCTCGCGCGGAAATCTGACCGATCCCTTGCAATGATGATTGTGACGTTATTTGTGACTGCAGTTGTTGATGAAGTGTGTGTGGTTTCGACTTCAATCTGTGCTGGGCAACCAGGCTACACCGTGCGGCATGTGGTCAGCGCACCAGGCGGGGGTCACTCAGCAGGAGGAATGATTATACACTACACAAGAGAAGAAGACAGCATGGGGTGGTGTGCATGCATACCATCAATCGCACAGTTTCCGATGATGACGTACAGCCAATTGTGGCCCTCGTATGGATACATACCAGGCCACACAATGCCTTTGGCCGGCCTTTTCCGGAGCACTCGGTATTATCAGGGTAGCAGACAACAAGCTTGGATGTTCCGTCCGTGTCGTACGATTTCACCGGCCATGCACCGGGCGAACGAACTCATCACTGCGGCCTACTCTAGCTAAATTGTCTGGGGCTGGCTGTCCGTAGGCAAGTAAACAACGGCACAGCTGCTGGCCTACAGGAAGGAAACCGCTACATAACAGGACCACCAAACGCCAGAATCACGCATGCATGCCAGTGGTGGCCGAGTTGATGGGCGAGCTAGCCGGCCGCTCAGCGAAGGCAACATATCGAGACAAATACTGCTGGTTGTCCTTGATTGCGGCCCACAACCGAATCGTCCATCGCGACGACTCCCACAGAAAAACGATGTTGGCAACAGCAGTATCGCAACGCCTCGAGGATCGCTTCCAGCTGGGGGTCTCATCAAACATCATACCCTTTCAATGAAAAAAACCCTTCAAAATCTATCAGTCAGTTTGCCAAGAACTTTTGCATGGCCGACTAATACACACACGGAAAGCATCCGCAAGCGGTGGTGATGTGGTTCTCGCACCAAGCAACACAGCGGGAGGGGTTCAATGACCGGCAGACCGCTACTTCAATTACCGGTGCCCCCCCGCCCCCAATCACAATTCTAGAGGAGCGTTGTTGCCACGATGTGCTTGGCTAGCCTGCTGCTGCTGCTACTGCTGCTGCTGCTACTGCTGCTGCGGGAGCTCTAGCTGTGCGTTGGCATCGCCGTGGAGACTCCGTGTGATTTCTTGGACGACCCGTCTCCGTCTCCGTCTCCGTCTTTGTCGTACGGCCACGACGACGTGACGGTCTTGACGCGGGTGTAGAAGTGCACTCCCTGAGTTACATGTACGCGTGCGTGTAGGGCGCCGTGTGGCACAAGGAAAAGGAACGCCGCAACAGCAGAAGCTTAACGACGGAAAACTGCAAGACCAATGTCCGAGGCCAGCCAACCACCAAACACTCGCCAGCTTTACAAGTGAGGATCGTTGACGTTGTAACCCTCCCCCTCCGAAAACCAGGCAACCGAAAAAAAAGGTCTGGAACGTTACACGCCACCGTCATCATGCCGTACCCCCAAGGAACTTTGACTGAGGACGAACACTCTATCCGTCGCTGCGGAAGTGCACCCGATGTCCGCACAGCAAGCAGGTGGTTATGTCCCTGCTCTCACAAGCCTTGTCTTAATCCATCCACACGGAGCACTTCTTCTCCAGACACGCAGTACTGCTTCTGGGCAGTGGCTGCGCTTCTTCATGTTATTCTTCTCAACGAAACTCCCATCGTGCGTATGGCCGCAATCGTGAAAGGGATCTCTAGTCCCTCGTTACTTCAAGACTAAAGCTACAAGCTCGTCTTGCAAGTTCACTTGATCCATACTCCACCCTTGCCTGTTTTCCGTAGAAGTTGATGTCGCCGCGGAACGAAGCACCGGACCCGGTGAAGCTAAAGAAAGGCAGCGGTACGGGCACCGGGACGTTGATCCCCACCTGTGTGTTCGGCATGGACAGCACGCGCGCGTGAGGACGCTCTGAAATCGCGCGGATGAGCTGATCTGCCCCTAAAACAAGCAACGACCCGTAGATGATCCATTATTTTCAAATTTCGTAGGAAGACAATCAGGAACTCAACGCGACGCCATCTAGACGGAAACAGGTCGAAACATGACACCAAACAGGTTGTTGCTTCCCGCACTCAAACCCCTTTGTTGAATTGCAAACGCATGCCGTCGTTCAAGCATTGCCTCACGTGCATCGCCTCTCCTCTCAAGTAAACATACCACGAATCTAAACCAGCAATGAAGAGCAATTCCCCCCTGTCTTACATAGTCATGATGTGTAAGTAAAATACACTTATTATCGTTGTGAATCGTAGCCTGGGCCGGCGAAGACTCCGCACATCACCCCGTGCCGGCACTGTAGGGATGCGAGGTCTATTAGACAATGGCACGCGTTAAAATGAGCACCCCCAAAAGAACCAAGAGAGAGTGAGAGCGCCTCCTCTCACCTGGCCGGCGTGAACGTCGCGTTGGAATCTCCTTGCTGCTGCCCCCGATCTCGTGAAGATCGACGTCCCTGCTCGTCGGTTGCGTGGTTTCGTTGGCTCAAGAGCAGACAGAGCGTCGACGACGAGAGAGAAGCATAAACCGACAGATTTTGCATGCTACACCGTTGTAGCCGGTGTGTTGCAGTCACACGAAAAACGAAACCACAAGAGTCCGCCTGCGTCGGTTGGACACGTGCCGATGTTTGAAGGTGCTGAGCAGAGCCCGGAACTATATGTAGTGCTTGACAACGACAGCATCAACTACAGCAGCAACCACAACAATACCAACAGCAGCACCAACCACAAGAACAGTAACCACAACAATGACACCACTGATAGACACGACCAACACCACTACCAACAACAATAGCACTAGCAACGATTTTCAGGGGGGGAAGATACACCTACCGTTGCCGTATCTGCAGGAGTTGACCAGCCCGATGGCCTCCTCGAGGGTTTCCACGGTCACCAGGCACAAGACCGGCCCGAACACCTCTGAGTCGTACGCCGACATGCCTGGCCCGACCTGTTTCCCGGAGAGGATGGTTGGACCAACGAAGTTCCCGCTCTCGTACCCGTCTACCGCGACGCCCCTGGTGTTGCGTGGGGTACAGCAGTGTAGCGATGAAACAGCGGGAGGGTTTCAAACGAGGGTGATGTGAGCTTGATTGCGGTCGGGGTACGTGCGTCAGGCGCTTTGCTGATGGCTCGGCCAGGATAGCGGAAGTCCCAAGAAATTCCCGGCTCTCGTACCCGCTCACCACGATCGCCCTTGGTGTTGTGCCAGGATTCATGATGAAACAGCTGGAAGGTCTCAAATGAGGATGATGTGCGCTGTATTGCGGTCGGGGCATGTAAGTCAGGCGATTTGCTGATGGCTGCGACAGGATGGTGGGAGGCCCCGAAATTCCCGGTCTCTCGTATCCGTCCACCGCGATCGCCTACGGTATTGTGTCGGTTCATGTGGTGATGATGAAACAACGGGCCGCTTGCAGGTGGGTATGCTTTGTTTTCGGGGGAGTACATCGTATCAGCGGCGGCCGCTGCTCTCTGGGGATACTGCACTCCTGCCTGATTCTAGCGGAAGGGTGATCCAGGAAACATACGGTATGTTGTTATTCTTGCTGCTGCCGCTGCTGCGGCCTGTCGACTCATCGACCCCGTGGGAAAGCCTAGCCCTATCCCTAATCCTACTTTGTTACCTTATTTCCTAGCTGTGGATTTGGGGTCAAGCAGTTTGCTACCATCTTTCCGGCCTCCGCGTTAGAACACTTCCTTAGCAACCCCTGCCCTGTAGGGTTAGGCGGGCGTGGACCCATGGGTTAGGGTTCCAAGGGTAGCGTCAGGGTGAAGGGTAGGCACCTATGCTAAGCCCTACTTAATATGACCTTGCTTCCTTCGGAGCAACACCCCGAAAATCGTGTCACGCCCCACGCACCTTCCGTCAAGCAAAATGTCGGCGCCAGCATCTTGCGATTCCTGCACGAGGCGCTCGGCCCTCTCCCTCGCCTCCCTGGCTATCATCGGGCCCACATCCACACCTTCCTCCCACCCGGGACCAACCTGCACAGCAGTGCACAGTTTTGTTGCGCAACCGCAAGAAAATTCCCACAAGTTTACTACCCGTGCACAACAGCAGAAGCAAGCACGAAAACAAAACGAATGCAAGACAGTAGTAGCGCAACCATATTGCCCCTGCGAGAAAACACTTGGAGAATTCTACTGCTGTCGCACGCACGGGAGAACAGCAGCAGAAAGGAGCACCAAACGCACAGCTAACGCGAGACAGAGAACAGCAGCAGCAACCAACATAAACCTGGTTTACATTTTCACCAAAATCTGCAACATCATAAACACCGAAAGTATTCACAGAGTGGTGTCAGAAGAAGAAATGGGACAAACACAAACGTGTGCGTACACACAGCCTGCGGTGTTGTCCACAAAGGTTGCGTTCCGACAGAAAAATCGTCAACCGCGGCCCCGCCATCTAGAGTTAGTTGCACCACCGCGCACAGGCAGACGGCGAGAGAGCGAGAGAGAGAGAGAGAGAGAGAGATAGAGAGAGAGAGAGAGGCCTCAGGACGGCCAGGCGGCGGCTCGCTCTCACTTTCAGCGCCGACGCACCCCGCGCGATGTCTTGGGCCCAGCCTCCGGCTTCGCCCACCAGCACGGCGACGGAGAGGGCCATGCACCGCTGCCCCGCCGCCCCGAACGACGCCCCGATTATCGCGCTCACGGCGGCGTCTCTGCGTGGACCGCGGACCGCAGCCGGGAACAAGCGAACGGATAAGATCACCACACGCGTGCGAGCGCGCGCGCGGGCGCGCGGCGGAAAATTTTCGTGTGTTTTGTTTGTGTGGGTGGTTTGAGTCTGATAAAATAGGGTTTGGTGACGATTTTTCGGCATTATTCCCAGTTGTTTTGGCGGAAGATTCGTCTGTGCCACGGGGTTCTGTGATGTCAATCGGGTACTGGAGCCAAAACCACCGTGGGGTGGAAGGATGTACCGCATACACCCCCCGGTGATGTGCAGTATTTTGGGCTTCCAAAACGTCATATCTGGGTGCGTTATCTGTGTCCTAACTTACGTCGCCCAAACATTGATCTGGGAGAACTTTACGTTTCCGGGCTCGTATTGATGCGCAAAATTCAAGTTCACCGGGTGCGGTATTGCGCGTGGGGAGGTGTTATATTATGTGCGTGTCTCATCTTACGTCGCTCTTGCCTGTCCGCGTCGGGTAGCACGACGACGTGGTTCTTCGCCCCCATGTTGGACTGGACCCGCTTTCCCGCGGCGGTGCCCCTCGCAAAGATGTGCTCCCCGGCCTTTCGAGGCAAGACGAGGTACAGCAGTGAGACAAGTATGCCTATGACGACACGTGAAGTGCTACAAGTACAAGTATTGCTATGGCACCACAACAGGTACAGCGAGACAAGGGTGCATTTGAGACAAAAAGGGGTGCAGCGAGACAAGTGCACACATGAGACAACAAGGGGTACAGTAGTGAAACAAGTATGCCTATTGGACAACAAGAGGTAAACGTAGTGAGACAAGCTTGCATGTCAGATGGAAAGCGGGACAGTATTGAGACAAGTGTACCCATGAGACAGTAAGGGGTACAGTAGTGAGACAAGTATGCCTACGGGACAACAAGAGGTACAGTTGTGAGCCAAACATTCTAGATCAGCGAGAGACCGAGACATATGAAGTGCATGGATAGTGTACGGAGGGAGCTACACGGCGAGGAAACGGAATCAAGAAAATGCGCCAAAAAACGTACAGTGGCAATCACCGTCCCCGCGAACTGGTCCTGCTCATGTCGCCGTATACGAAACTGTGTTATTTTCATTTTGAGTTGCCCTTCTCCCGACTTGGAGTTGTCTAGCAACAGCAGTCTCAGCATCATATACCTAATCAACCTAATACACGAAATATTGAAACCCCCGCTCCAAAAACAACAGGAGTTGGTTCACCAACTGCTGACGTGAGTGACGGCGGCTGCCACGGCAAAACCCGAGCTTCACAGACCTGATTTCCCCCCACAAAGGAAATGGCTTTGATGTCCGGGGAGTCGCATACGAAGTCGACGGCCTCGTGGCCCCCGTGGATCACGTTCAAAACGCCTGGACAATAATGGGAACCCGGTAGGCGGCGGGTTTGTTTGGGAGCTTTTGGCGCGGGTGGTCAGCTAACCGGCGTGGTTTGCGGGTAGCAATGTAAAATTGGGGAAGCATCGTCCGAAAAATAAACGTGATGATAACCGTTAGCTGGTCTCGTTGTACTCCAATCGTCAAGACACCAAAATCAATAAGACCTTTCACCTAACCCCATTTGCTTGTCTACTTGAGCACTAGCGGAGTGGTAGCATTTACAGCTCAGCGCTGAAGTCGCTGATAAGCCGAGAGGGACGACGATCCAAAGCGAAAACTGCGTTGAACAGCACTCCCCCTCGAAATCGCACATCAGAAGCCCCTTCTTTTTGTTGGTCTCATTCTCACCGTCCGGTAGGCCAGCCTCCGAAGCCATCGAAGCGAGCTTCATCGCGGCCCCGGGACACTTCTCTGACGGTTTCATCACGAACGTGTTTCCGGCGGCTATCGCGAGAGGGAACATCCACAACGGGATCATCGCCGGGAAATTAAAAGGACAGATTCCTTCATGGCGGGGGGGGAGGGGGGAGAGGAAAGCAGCGGCACGGACGACGTCACGAGCGGTTTCAAGGTGGCACACGTATAACACATACCACCCAGCTGAGTTGTAAGGTCCAACCGTGATGTACGGCGGTGAAGCTGACGGAAGCTGTGTTGCCGTACACGTTTACACGCGTGTGCATTCCGCTGTGTAATGACAAGGATAAATTAGGAGGACAGCAAGCCAGCAAGAGAAAGTACGGCAGGCAGGCCAAGCGGCAAGGTAGAGCGGAAACAAACCGACACCCCCACCCGATGTTCGCCATCGGGGTTGGGTTTTCGTCGCATGGCAACGACGTTGCAAAACAAGCCGATCACTTGGCGAGCTCGGCAGTCAGGTTCCCGCTTTTTTTATATCCTCTTTTTTGTTTGCGATGCGACGAAAACCCAACCCCGATGGCGAACATCGGGTGGGGGGGTCGGTTTATTTCCGCTCTACCTTGCCGCTTGGCCTGCCTGCCGTACTTTCTCTTGCTGGTTTGCAATGGTGATTGAGTAGATCATGTTGTGCGAGGTCGAGGACCCTCGCTCCGCCCAAGGGGGATGATCGCACCACATTGGGTTAAAAAGGGTCAAGCACCCTCGAGGCAGTTACACAGTAACCGGTCGCCCCGGTGGTCTAGTGGGTAGCCTCGCAGCCTTCTAAGGGCCAGGTCATGGGTTCGAGCCCCGGCAGAGAGAGTTTTCTTTCTCACTGAATAAATCCTGGTCTAGGATGAAAGCGACGCGCTGCAGAGCTCGTTTGTTAGTAAACCATAATCGACTTCGTAAGTCGCGAGGGAAGGGATTGCTGTACCCTTCTCGCGATAAAAATACCTCAGGCATGAACCGCAGGAGGGGGTCCAACCCCCCCCTCCTATGTGACCCCGGTTGGGTCGTCTAGCTAGTAGACGTGGAGGATAGGGGCCAGAGGGGCAGACGACAGAGTCCAATGATGGGAGAAGAACAAAACAAACAAAAACAGTGCTTGCAATTGTCTCTGGGAGTGATAGCACCAGAAAGTCATACGCAGCAGTCACCCGACGCAAGGAAATAAGCACAAGATGCCGAGCACCCGTAGCAGGATGCAGCGCACCCTTCATGCGACTCGCCGAATATCTCACGGCGCTTCGCGCTTGGTGATGTGAGAGCCTGGTCCGGTGAGAACCCGGCGNCCCCCCCCCCGACTTGCAGCTAGCTCAGCGCGGGAGGTGAGACATTGTGGCGGGCGTTCGCACGGTGACGACGGAGAAAAACAGGGTAAAAAGCAGCCGCAGAAAAAGATTGACAGGAGTACGTGTAGTGCGGTGTGTGGTGCCACGTGCTACAGGAGACGCGTTTCGAGGTTTGCCGAGACACACGATGCGATTGTGACGTTAAAGCGACGGGATCCAACAGAACCAAGGAATACGAGGTGCGCCTTCCCGTGGTGCTATGGGATGCTAGGGAGTGATGGGGCGCGGCAACGTCGTACACAATACGATGCGATGTTGTGCGCAAACAATTCGACAATCATCCCCTCCTAGCGCTCCGTCCCGGCATTGTAGGGATGCGAGGTCGATGACCTTATGACTTTGAAGACGATCAGGATACATTCGCAAATAGACGGGGCGACGTCAAATTCACCAACTGCGTCGAAGTCTGCAAAAATACCGACTTTGCTACCTGATTGCACCCCCCCTGCTCACCGGCGCAAACGCCTAGCGGCTCGCGGTACGAGTACGTGTCCATCCCTGCCGCCACCCCGCCAAGGGTTTCTCCCATCATTGCCGCCCCGACCCCACACGCTTGTTCCACCACCTCCAGCCCTCGAAACACGTCGCCCCGCGCGTCTATCAACAGCGTGTTGCAGGGGAGAGAGGGTCCAAGGTGTTAACATCATATAACCGGCGATAGAGGGTCCCAGGTGTCTACAGCATGCGACCGGCAACAGAGGGTCCCAGGGGTTAACAGCATGTGACCGGCCATAGGGGATCCCACGGCTACGCGCGCGTGTCATCAGCGTGTTGCAGGGAGAGAGGGTCCCAGGTGCTAACAGCATGTACCCGACGATTGAGGGTCGGTGTCTACAGCATGTAACCGGCGATAGAGGGTCACAGGGCTACTGGGATGAAGGGGTCGAAAGCGACGACAGCAATGAGGTTGGCAGGCGGCGGGGCGCAGAGGCTAGAAACTTCGGTGCAGAACGTGGTCGAATGAAGGTATTATAATAGAACCCCATCTAGCGGCTTCACGGTACAGCCCGCGATGTCTGGCTACTTGTTGGCCGACAAATGATTGCCTCCTACCCGCCGGAACCCCCTCTGGCGTCACGACTTTCCTGCTATTGCCTCTGCAAAGCTAGCCTCGACTGAACCGGACAACCACACAAAGAAAGGTACACACACAACATTTCACTCCGCTCGAGGGAAGCCCAGCTCTACTTGGCGGTTCGACTTGCGCCTCTGGGGCTTGGCGGGGCCCAACACACCACCGCCGTCTCAAGCGCTAGTAGCTGTGGCAGTAACTGTGACGACCGATGTAAACAGCTGTGAGAAAGGCCGACTACTGGAAGAAATTTCTCGTCCACCAGCTGCCTCCGCGTAGTGGACTAACGGCGGCGGTTGGTTCCGCTGACTTTTGTTATTGTGGCTCCTCACCGGCTAGAGTTTTCCCTTGCTCCAACGTGATGCTAGCAGCGAGTTCCTCCGTTCTTTCCCTGAACGGGCAGAGCCGGCCGGAAAATTCGTGGTCAAGGGAGGTCGGACTTGTCACATCGTATCTCTCGAGTCTGACCTGTTGCCTGGTCGGTGTTTGGAACTCTGCATCTTCGTGAGTCCACGCTGAACCGTTGTTGTTGTTGTTGTTGTTGTTGTTGTTGTTGTTGTAGTTGTTGTTGTCTTCACAACGAAAATTATCCTGCTCTCTGGTCGGTACTTTCTAACATGAGTACCGGTCCAACTGATGCGCCTTCGTGCCTAATTTCTGACACCACCGAACCTGCTTGAGCCCTCCATACCTCTGATGGCTTACCCTGTAACGGGAGGGATCCTTAGCCTTCCCTGTCCTGTTCCGACTACGGTACGCTAGCCGCAGTTGTCCTACAACCACGATCCACACAACTATCCAATAGACAAGGCTGGCTGTTGCGCGGTCAGTGCTGCAAGGCAGACCCTTCTTGACAGACCTTATCAACCCCTGGAGCTTGAACATCACTCGTGAGCGGTGCTGAACGGGCACGTGCCTCCAAGTAGAAAACGCCTCCTTTGACGACGAAACCGCAGCCTCCATCTGCGACCCCCCCCCACACAACACATTGGAACGCAAAGCAAGAAGGGGATGGTGTTCAAAGGGGAGTCCAGACTTTTTTTTTTTTTTTGCAAGTATGGACACGCTACCTTAGGTGACACAACGTACGACACCCCCTGGACCGATTTTCAAAGCTCGGCTATTCCGCAGCCGAACGAGTATGCGGTGCCGAAAATGGTGGCGGGCCTGTAACCGTCTCATCGAGAGCTCTCCAAAATGGTATCGTTTGGACTCAACACCCTCTTTGTCGTCCTGTATAGTTGTACTGTAGTCGACATTTCAAAATCGGTCCGGGGGGTGTGGAAGCTTATGCCACCCAAAGGTGGTCCACGCAGCTACTACCCCGAGTACGAAACTATCTCTAGAAATCACGGTTGGTGGCACTTGTCACGCACATGGTGCGGGGGAGCTCCGCGATATGCCCGACTCAACTGGCATGGCACAATTCAAGGCGTACAAAGATCAGCTGATTTATTATTCCGATCTGAAATGTCCCTCCGACAACAACGCAAGGCAGGAAAGTGACTGACCAAGGCGCGAGCTTTCCTTGGAAAACTTTCAAAATTGTGGAACAAGCAAAACGCGATGACGAACGGGAGACCTCTGGTGTTCTTGTGCGCGGCCTTCGCTTCAGACTAGCGCTTCAGCGGTCAGACTAGCATTCTTCGAAATGCTCGAGGAGGCGAAGCAGGGAAAGCAGAGAGAGAGAGAGCACCTACCGGCGTCGCTCCATGCGGCAACAAAGTTCGCCCCATTAAGACGGTCGGACTCTCCGCACACGTGTATGTTCTCTGAAATGGGAGGAAGATCGTCTCGGCCTTGCTCCACTCCCATGTCTGCCTACCACCGTTCTAGCTCGTGTGCGGTAAATTAGCACTGCTGCTGGCGTTTGCTACGCCCCCGTGCCTCACCTCCGCACTGGTGCTACGGGGCACCCTGCACACGGGGGCTTGATTGGCCGGGCTGTTGATGTCGATCCAGCTCGTCGTGGCGCTTTCCCTCGCCTCGCCGTCGATAAAATTGCAAACGTCGAACTGTCATGGACGCCGTTGGGGGGTGGCATGCGTGGGCCAGGCTCAGCAGCGCCGAAAACGTCGACAAAGGAACGCAAGGATTCGTCTGTGTCTCAGGTACAACGCAGCAGTAGCCGTGTCGCGGGCGGCGACGGGAACAGAACATCACGTTTCACGAGGTGATGATGATGATGCGATAAATCGTTCCACTACAAGTTGCCCACCCTATATAGGGCGAACACACTATACGTAAGGGTCGTTGTAGTTTTCAAAGCAGATGTAGATGCCGACCGGGACCAAGCGGCCGTCGAGTGCTTTATGTGGTAAATGATTGCTAAGACTCGCGTCCGCGCGACAGCATTCCGCCAAACAAGAAAATGTAACGTTTCGTAGATTTCTGAGTCAAAACAAGGTGAACACATACACACATGGGAATACAGTAGTTTGCCAAGAGAAGTAGTTGCGAGCAGTTCGTCGTTGAAGGAATGACGCAAAAACACTGTTGATTCTTAGTCGTTTGAAGTTTGGCAGGGTGCTCTTTGTTCTGTCAAAGCAGCACTGCAGCAGGTAGAAACTGCCACGGCAATTCCAGCGTAATGCGTATCCGTACCGTACTTGCTCAGCACATTGTGTCTTTCCCGGACGCTAGGTTGCAACGCGCAAGTGCCGATGTACCGCCTACATATCTCTTGTTTCGACAGTGTGGAAGCCTGGGCATGTAATGCCATGACGGCAGGGGCACAAGGCTTTCGTTTGGGGATTGAAGTATTAGGCCGGTAGCTCCGATGGTTTCCTTGGTGCAATACATGCAGTACCGTAAAAGTGCGTGTGATGGCACCGGGGTGCGATCGTTTTTGAAATCATTCCTATCTTGGTTTTTTATCGCACCCCGGTGCCATAACACCGATGGGTGCCATAACACCGATACCGGTGCGGAAATGCAATTAATCATTTTGTTCTAGATTTCGAACGCACCCCCGGTGCGATGACACCGATGAGTGCGATGTGGAAGAAATCACAGTGGCCATGATGCGGTGCTGAGTGAGCGCACCACGGTGCGATGACACCGATGAGTGCGATGTGGAAGAAATCACAGTGGCCATGATGCGGTGCTGAGTGAGCGCACCACGGTGCGATGACACCGATGAGTGCGATGTGGAAGAAATCACAGTGGCCATGATGCGGTGCTGAGTGAGCGCACCACGGTGCGATGACACCGATAGGTGCGATACTCAAGAAACGAACTGGCGTAGATGTCTTCGTCTTGCTTGCTGTAACTCTTGCAGTAGGAGCTTGCGTAGACGGTACCATGCAACCAGCCCGGAGTGATGATAGTGATGAGGTCGAATCCGAGTTTGGGGTGGCGTGCGCCAAAGGGAACAGACGCTGTGGTTCCCTGCTGGGGAAGGTATGCATACGGCGGGGTATCGTTTTTCTTCAGCCTCTTTGTTGGTCGAAAGCCCCTCTTTTGTTGGCTGGTGCTTCCCTCTGTCTTTGTCTGCCTCAAGGGGCATGGTACCGGTAGAAATGTAGTACCGTTACGATTTCCTTCTTGTTCGGTTGGTGGAGGTGAGGAATGTGTACTGCTGTGTGCTTGGTTGAGTGAGTGAGTGCCTTCGATGTACGAATTACCGTAGAAAAAGCAAAAAAATCATGTCTACTGCGCAAACCACGACGGTACGATATACATCAATGAAATGGCGCCCCAATTGGTACCTGCCAACCACGTTACATACTGTTCGACACGTGGCCCAGAGGGTACCGGTACCTTGCGGAAGCACGCAAGATTTCGTCCTTACCAGATTTTATATCGTTGGTATCGCACCGGTGCGATAACACCGATACCGGTGCGGAAACACAATTAAATAATGCCGGTCTTGATATTTTTGCGCCCCCCGGTGCCATAACACCGATGGGTGCAAAATCACCGATGGGTGCCATCACACGCACTTTTACGGTAACCTCGAAAAGCTTCAATCGGCCAGGTTGAAGGTTTTTGGGTTTGAATAAGAAGGCGTGGCACAATATCGCTGCTCGGTGTTTCAACCTTAATATTCATAGACGAGCGCTTGTTCGCGGGGAAGGTTCAGGCAAGGAACTGCTACACCACTAACTGCACCACAGAGGAGCTGTTTTGCGGAGCCGTAGATCGGGGTTCTTCAGTCCGAAGACCGACCGTGCAGGGGGTGCAAGTGGCGACCAACGGCCAAAATGAGGCATGAAAAAAGGAAAACCCCGGGAGAACTGGCTATATTCTGCAGCCCAACTTGAGGTCTGAGGGCTTGGGCCAGCGGCCGTTCTTCTCACTTCGCATGGCTGACGGCGAATGGGAAGCGGATCCAAGAGCATAATCTCGGCTTTGCAAGCTGTTCTACGGCGGCATTAGCTCCCTTCAGGTCGCTATTTGGCGGCCTGCTCTACCTTGCACATGGGGACTGCTGTGTATGCTACCAAGGTTTACAGCGGCTGGCACCAGCCCGGTGAGTTCAACCAACACCTTCCGGCTCAAGGACCAGAGGCAGACTGACACTCGGGCCCACACATGAACATCCGCCATAGGGAGTGGATTCAAGCAGACACACGGGTTTCGGGCACATACGCACCGGAGGACGGTCGCGCATCGCGTTGAAAGCAGCAGCAGCAGACAATGCGCTCCTTTCCCTCAGACCGAGATGTTGGGATCGCGGCATTGTACGTCTCGCTGCCACCGACTGTGCCGTATTTTGGAACGTCCGAATCCGGGAAGCCATGCTTGCCAAAGAACTGCTGCACAAGGGAGCAGAGTGCAGCGTGTGAGCTTTGTGTGACCCAGCTGGATTGGAGTTGGAAGGGTCTCTGAGAATTCCTGTGACGCCTGAGATGCGGTCAAACACAAAAGGTAATGAAACTGTTCGGCAATTAGAGGCGCCAATCCCGCCGCATTTTGGGTTCTCTCGCGCATGTTGTCGCCGTTCTCCGTTTTCTGCTCTGGTGCTGGCCGTGGTGTCCTCGCAACGTCACCAACATACAGCTGTCGCTGGTACCAAAAGCCCGGTTGTCAGTTCCGGAAACTACGTCCAGAGCAGCGCCAACACGTTCAAGCGTCGGAATATCAGAAGCACCTGTGGCTGAGTCAAGAACGAGTTACGACCTCCATCATAGAGGTCGATCAGGCACTAGACTACACTTTTTCTCTGGCGTCGTTGCAGTCTTCGCGCTCACGTGGCTCGAGCTGACACATACGCTTGGACATCGGCACGAAAACTTCAAAGTGGGTTGAACACAGGCTACCAGTAGCTATTTTGTGTGCTTTCGGTATTCGGTCCGCTGTGTACTGGGTCGTGCTGTACCCGGTTACCTGAAAAATCGTGCCGCAAGTCTGCTTCTCGGACACATGGGGGGCAGTCGTAGAGGTCTAACGACCGGCTCGCTCACCCTTGCAGACCCAGCAATTACGGTACAAACCACCGTTTCATGAGCAAAACACTATAACATGCTGGTAGGTGAGTTGCTGTACAGTAGAGCACGCCTGTATATTTTTTTGCATGGCCGCCGAGTCGATACAGGCACTCGCTTGTTCAACATCAACGAATAGACTATACGCATGCACGCTTGAGGTAGGGCCATCACGAAGGACGATAAGCAGGAGACTACTTGCGTGTGGGAGCGCAGCACTATTGCGTTAATATTTCCATGTGCCCTGGCACACAGAATGCTGTATCAGGCTAGTCTATTGATGCGATTAGCTTCGCCTTCGTCCCCACACGTTTGGCGTAAGCGCATAGACCACGCTAGTACTGCAGGACTTTATCGCTCACCAAGTACTAAGCATGCATGTGGAACATGAACGGACCTTCCCACAATATAGAGGAAGAATACACATACATTAGGACGGCCATGTGCTCAGTCAGCCTTTGCACTTAGATGAATATCAATGAAGACAAAGATTTGGTAGGGTTGCGGCGTACCCGCAAATAAACTACCCTGTGGGAAGCGGCCTGCGACATTTTTTCTAACAACGAAACGAGGACGGGCGCAGAAGAAAGGCCTCTTCGACGACAAAATTGATCAACTGCCCGTACAGAGGCACACTGTTGCCAAAAATGGTGAGGTCTGTTAACTCATTCCCCTTTCGTCGCATGCTCTCGACATTTTGTCCCACAGATCGACGCCCATGATGGCGGTTTCGACTAGCCGTGGCGCACGAAGGGTCGCCAAGTCCATGTTATTGTTTCTGAACCTTTCAGCCGTGGTTGATGGTGAGCGTTGCGTCTACTGCCATATTGGTGGCATTCCTCGCTCGCGCAAGTCCGTAGTTATGCAGCACCGTCGTTGCACCGAAATCTCGCGTTAACGATGACCGAATGAAGGATCTGGTTCCTTCTTGAGCATTCACCGCACTTTCTTCTTCCAATGGTCAAATTCTACCGAAGGTCCGTTTTATCGTGCTCTCTATCGTATAGCACAGCATGTTGTCTTCGTGGGGTATCTTTTCTGAGAATGTTAGGAACACCTCCGACTGACACCGCCCGTCACGCTTGTTATTGTGATGACGTGTCGGACTCGCCGATAACCACGTGACCCCTGCCGGTGCCATACCTTTAGCGACACCCGCGCCAACGCCAGTACCGCTCTCTGCACCTACTGCGCCAGGTAATCTCGCTGTTTTCGTTCAACTGACGCCGTAGATCTATCGAAACGCGGTGCGGATCCCGTGTTCCGATAGTCAAACAGATGAAGAATCCAGCCACTTCGTTGAAGTCGGTTACATGACGAACGAATGTCGACAAAGCAGAAATAGTTCCCGTTTCGCAAGACTTTCTTGTCGCTCTTTCTCACTGGGACAGGACCCACCCAGACGCAAATCTATGCTTAGTCAAATGACCGTGGCCCACCCTCCCCCCCTGAATTATTTGTTTTCTTTTTTCCCAACCTCTACAGCCAACAACTCCTGCCTAAACCCTGGTAGCGTTAACTACAAGTGCAACAGCAGCGGTGCGACCCAAATGTGAGTGTTGTCATTGGTGGGCAACGTGGGAACGGCATCACAATATACCGGAAACTTCTGTGTGTTACGAAAATTGTTGCAAGTCCTGAAGATTCTACCTCCCTGCTTTATTGCTTCAAAACACATTATCACCCATGAACTAGCCCGCACTTTCACGAACGTTTTAATGGACGTTTTTGCATCCACATCCGCAGCAGTATTTTTTTGGCCAGGACTCAACCCGGAAAAAAGTTTGGTAGTATTCGTCGTCGCCCCATTTGTGCTTCTCTTGTGCGGCACGTTGACGCGTGGTATTTGTCAGCATCCTTGACAACTGCGGAATCATGGACAGCGACCTGGACGACGTCGGGAGGTGTATGGACGTCTTCGGCGGAGACACCGTGACACGCGTGTGAGTATCACCCACTCAACATGCAGGTTAGAGGGTATCTGCATGTTTAGGGAGTTAACACCTTCCACTCTCTAGAGGCTACGGGGGCAACGGTACTCGAAGGACGAGAACGAGTTGCCCAAGAGTCTATCGCCTACCGATATTTTGGATACACGTGGGAAGCGGCGTGCGGTTACGCGCCATGTGTAACACCAAGAGGCGGCCCAGACGTCAATCCTACACCCATCATTTGCATGTACTGGATGTGATCGGTTCCGTCCTTCGTTGGATTACCTTTTCCCGATGCTTTCCACGTATCTATCGACAGGTATCTTCGGTACAACCTGTTGACTACGGTCCGGGATAATCTGTTCACAGGGCTTGGGAGGCTAGAGCGCATGTGAGACAAAGCTCTATTGATTGCAGCTTATAAAGCGGCAGCAGCCCAAGGACGCGCGCTTGCTCAGCTCATTCCTGAAGATAGAGCGAAAGAGAAGTGCCAGGATCCTAGGGATTAGTCAAAGGCCACGCGATACGCCAGACTCACTCTCTAGCAGCCTTGTTCATGACGATCAAAACGCTTCCAGTCCACGTGCGAACTCTGCCTGGTCGAGACAGAGTATCTTACCCTTGAACCCAATCGCTTCCCGTTTCGGCTGCCGTCCTCCGACGTTTCAGATATCTCAGCAACAATTTCATCTCTGAGATGCCAGTTGCCACCTTCCAAGGGCTTAAGAGCTTGCAGTGGCTGTGAGTATTCGCTTGCCGAGGCCAAAGCGAGATTTCTATCAGTGATACACCTCATGTATTGATGGTTGCTCGGTAGTCACAGTTGCTCAAGTGGATAGAAAACCACCGATATGAGTTGCCGCATATTTGCTGTTAGTCTAGTTCAAGACGGACCAATCTTTGGCGTGGGGCATGTAACGCTTGTCTTCTGCACTCTCTGGGGCGCTGACTCACATTGCACACGTCTCTCGTGCGTGTAGAGCGCTTCTGGAACTGCGTGAATACTTGGGTAGACACAACAAACCCGCGGCCCGAACCGCGGAGATGAGAATTGTGATGTTCACTTTTCAGGTTGAGACATTGAAAATCTTGCAGTCAGCTCATTCTACAAGTGCCTCGTGTTGCAATCGTGACCCTTGCTTTCCCTTACACGATCAGCACTGCACACACCAAGAGCTATCTCCCTTTTACACTCTATCGTTTGGCGTTCAAGAATGCTCGAAAAACCCTCATCACGTTCGCGAGCCTCTTACGCACAACGCAGATGATGGATTACCGCGCGTGCTTCATGACCAAGGTACATGTGACCCCGATACGCTCCTTCCCTCCGCTTTGCGCATTCGCGCATGTTTCCTTTGCTCAGGTACCTCGATCGAAATTCCCTCGTCGCGCTTCCGGGAGAAATTTTCTCGGGCCTCGACCAGCTCGAGCGACTGTCGCTGCACCAGAACTCCCTCTCCACGCTCCACGCGGACACCTTCATGGGGCTCACCGGGCTGCAGGAGCTTTCGCTGACCTCGAACCCCGACCTCCAATGCGTCCCGGCAAACGACGCCGTCACCCTCGAGGTGGACGACACGACCGTCGGCACGTGCGGGTGCGCCCCGGCCGAGGCGGTGATGTGCGGGGACGGCGTGTTCTGCATCCCCGGGGAGCTCGGCTACTCGTGCGGGACTCCGGCCCCGACTCCGGCGCCGACTCCGGGGCCGACAGGCCCTCCCTCGCCCGCGCCATCGCCGGCGCCAACGCGCGCCAAGAACCCTTGCCTCGACCCGGCCAGCGAGGCCTACCTCTGCAGCGTCAACGGGACCGAGATCCACCTTGACTACTGCGGGATCACGGACGACGACCTGGAGGATGTCGAGATGTGCCTGGACGTCTTGGGGCGGGGCTCCATGACGGCCTTGTACGTGCGGTTCAACTACCTGACGACAATTCCCGAGGGACTGTTCGACGGGCTCGCATACCTCAAAAAGTTGTACCTGAACAACAATGGGTTGAGCGAGACGCCATCCGCAGAGAGTTTCCAAGCTCTGGGGAACCTGCAGGTCCTGAACTTGAATGGAAACTCTCTGACCGCGCTGCCTACGGACCTTTTCCGGGGCTTGGGGCAGCTCCGACACCTGTGGATCAACATGAACCTGCTCACCACGCTCCCCGCAGAGCTGTTCGAGGGCCTTCCGCAGCTTGAATCGCTGGACCTCCGGCTGAATCCCGAGCTACAGTGCGTTCCCGCAAGCGCCGCCGACAATGTGGAGACCACCGAAATCTCTTCTGGGGTGTGCGGATGCTCCCTGGCACCGGCCGTCTTGTGCGATGCCGGTCTGGCCTGCGTGCCGGGAGAGCTCGGTTTCACCTGCGCGACATCAGCTCCAACGCCGGCCCCGGTCCTGCCGGGGAACAATACCTGCCTGGACCCTGCGAGTGAGCACTACGTGTGCGGCACGCCCG